AACTACGCGTTAAAGAGAATCCCACTGGGATGACGAAATAGTAGCGAATAGCAATAGAGTGCGAATACGACATACGAGCATGGGCAATAGCAGTGGCACGGCAAGCAATACTCCGGCAATGAGTTGACAGCCGGAGCGCCTACATATAGCAGGTGTAATCACAAACAAATGCACAACAGGTGTGCAGGTGGCAGAGTGAGTGCCTGCCACCTGCTGTCGAATACGGGACATGACACCTTTTACCTAGTTGTCAACTCGCTGTGGAACTACTCAGACACGTCGTAACCCAGACACGCACTGAACTCAGGGTAAGCCCCCCTTTTAACCTGCAGGTTATGTTTTCATTGCTTTTGCTTCATTCGCTCGCATGCATGCGTTTTTGATGTATCGATCTGAATTTGACAAGATCGGCATTCTGCCGATGATGTTGTATTTAGAGATTTTATATTACTGAACTACTGTCTACATTTCAAATCACTACTGTTTATTTTGGGCAAAACAAAAGTGAATAATTTCTTAGTTAAACTTGTACAAATTGAAATATTTGTGTATAAAACAGAGACACTTTGTTTTAGGGATCCAAAAATCTTCAGCATCTGGATGTAACTTGACTCCCTTTTGATTTTAAGATCCTACATTGTAGACAGAATTTTATTTTTTATTTTTTGAATCTCAGTGCTCTTGTTTCCTTGCATATAGACTATTGCCAAAGAGTTCGGAATATTGGTTGAAATATCGGGATGAACCAAAAAATGGTGAACTTAATTTGCCCTTCTCTTAAACTTTTGACTGTGCATGTCCAACTGTTCAACATATAAGTTTTTTATACACAACAAAGTTGCTGTTCTCTAAAGAGGAGCTGTAAGGAAATTTACCATCTTTTCAATTCAAATTTACCATCCATAATTTCCAAGCATACCCACTTTTGCCTTTCTGTGACTCTTCCATTCTCCCTCTACATCTTTGTTGCAAGGTGCTGATGAACCTTTGTTGTGCATTTGTTGTGTGTTATGTGCAATTTTAAATTGATCTCTTATCAGCTTCAGATCTTCAAAGAAAAAAAATACAGATGTGGATATTCGTCAAAATGTCAACACCGATAATCGGATTGTAGTTTAAATGACCCAATGGTCCATGTGAGTCTTGCCATTTGGGTCTTTGTTCGAGAATAGCATGTTATGTTGTGCATCAAGTACTGAACCATTAAAGCAGTTCAACATGTGGATTCAAAAGTTTGGAGAAGGTAAAATTAAGGTCACCTCTAAAGAGGACAGAATTCTAATTAATTTTAAATCCAACCTGAAATATCAACAACACCCAATCTCCTAGAGTTTTTCAGAGTCATAAACTTAGGTAAGCAGCGAGTGGTTCCTACCTATGTGCAGTTCTGACAGCAGTGTATCTTTGGTAAGTGCAAGCAGCTCAATCCCGTCAATGTTGTTGCTCCTGAATGTGTCCACCAATCCCTCCAGACCTTCCTCCAACAGCCACACGGCCACATCCTCTTCTGACCAATCACTGACCAGCAGCTTGGACCGACCTGCTGATGTCGATGCTGAGAGGACAAAGCAGAGTGACAGTTGAGTTTTTTCCCCCCCTTCTTTTATTGAAAAAGGGTAAATGTTATCTTGGAGCCCTGCTGGCGATTGATTTCAAGAGGTGCAGCTTAAGTAGCTGGGACACGTTATGGATTCATCCAGAGAGCTTTCATTGATATTCTCATTGACAAAGGATAAAAGTATAAAGGTGGAGAGAGCACACGTGCAGTCAGATCAAAAGCTGACAGGCACTACTCCATACATGGACTGTGTATGAACAAAAACATTGAGGAGAAGTCGAGAGCAGGTGGCTTTATGGATCTTGCTTTGTACACCGTGTCGCAGTCATGCTCCATCAGAAAATAGTCTTTACAAATGATCATTTATTAAATCAGTGAACCCAACCTTATCATAGAAGCGATTTTCTAGACCCACCTGCGACAAGTTCAAGTCCAGGTAGAAAGATTGGCCTTTTTTTTAAGTGCAGTTTTACCTTTTGCAAACACGTCAAGCCTTATTGAAAAACACAAAAACTGATCAAAACACCACTTTTTTATGAGTGCTTGTTCTCGCTGTTAAGAACTCGTATAAAAACCCAATTTCAATGAAGATGGGGCAATGTGTTAAACATACAAAAAACAGGAATATGATGATTTGCAAATCATGTTCAACCGATATTGAATTGAATACACTACAAAGACACGATATTTAATGTTCTAACTGAATATTATGGCTGCAACACATTCCAAAAAAGCTGGGACAGGTGACTGGTGAAAGGAGACTTTGATTCTCTCCTCTTTCATCTGTCACTGCTTCAAACAACAAGGTGTATGCAGAAATAATTGTTACGACTGTATGATTGTCCATGTTTTATGTTATGTGTTCTGTTATGTTATGGTAACTGTTCTGTAAAGCGCTTTGATACAGCTGCAGCTGTTGCGAAAGCGCTATATAAATAAAGATGTATTGTAGATGTATGTTGTATTATATAAAAATGAACATTGAGGAATGCTCATCAAACACCAGTATGAAACATCCCACAGGTAAGCTGGCTAACTGGGAACAGGTGGATGCCTTGATTGTATAAAAGGAGCTTCCCTGAATTGCTCAGTCATTCACAAGCAAAGATGGGGCGAGGTGCACCTCTTTGTGGACAACTGTGTGAGACTATTAGAACAGTTTAAGGAAGTCTGTCACTGATGGACGGCCATTTTGCTGATGAATGGCAAATGATGATGGCAGTGGGATGGTCTGGGGCTGCTTTGCTTCCTCAGGACCAAGACAACTTACTGTGATTGATGGGACAATGCATTCTGCTGTCTACCAGAAAATCCTAAAGGAGAACGTCTGACCATCAGTTTGCGCCCTCAAAACTCAAGCGCTCTTAGGTCGTGCTCTTAGACTTCGCTTTGTCTGACAGATTCTATTTATATGATTTCTTGATTCAACAAATGTGGTGCAAGGGTGTAGTTTTTTTTTTTGTTGTTGTTGTTGCCTTAATAAATTAAATTGGCATTAAGAAACAGCATTTTGTATCTCCTTGGGCTGTCTCTGTGTGATATTAAAATTGGTTGATGAAAAGAAAATTTTGTGTGTGATAAATATGCAAAGAACACAGAAATCAGGAAGGAGGCAAATACTTTTATATATATATATATATATACACACATACATATATACACACACACACACACATATATATATATATATATAAAGATAGATAGATTTTATATACTCTATTTCTCTCAAGCAGACAATCAAAGGGAACTTATTCCAATGGGTTTCATCCAAAAGTCTGATATATGCCCTGCTTGTGTTATACTAGGCTGCTTGGAAAATCCAAATATAGTCTGTTTTTGGTTTCAAGCAAGAGCAAAACAAAATAAAATTCAGGAGCCAGCAACAAAATCTTATTTACAATATCCTCGTATTTACATCAGAGCATACTGAGGGAAGGAGTGTTTCATTTGAACTTGTTTGAATCATGTAATAACGGGGCGCAATATGAGGTTGTTTAAAAAGTGCAATTCCCTGTTTTTTTTTCCTACAGTAAAAAAATATATGCTCATTTTGCATTTTATATATGTAGAAATGCTGTTCATATAAACGCTATTTGTTGATTTAAGAGCCCTAAAAATGAATGCTTTTAAATGAACCCAAAAAGGTAATTACAGTACTAAATACAAAACAAACAGAAGTACCACATTCCAACAAAAGCAACAAACACAGCTATTTCTCTTTTTTTTTGTGTCTTTTAGGAGAGCGTTATTTGCTGATAGAAGAGCATATTTTGAAAAATAAGAATGTACAAGAAGATATTCACAATCACACACACATATATACCCTATATATATATATATATATATATATATATAGCCCATCCAATACTTCAGTTTTTAATGTGTACACATTGGTATGTGGTTGCTTTTCTTGACTATGGAATAAACAAGCAATATATCGTTAACAGTACACCCTCTACACTCTTCTAGTCATAGATGTATAATGTTACATTTTATATATATATATATATATATATATATAAAAAATCAAGCTGATATTAAAAGTGAATAGTGGTAAACAGGCGTCTCTTGGGTCCAGTGGTCTGCAGAGACACCTAAGAGTGTACCAATACTTTTGTGGCACCATAGTTGACTGTGTGACCATTCCCTTCATTTTCAAGTAAGTGAGATGCGGCCTCTCTCCAATTAGCTTATAGCAAAAACAGTCACTGATGGAGAAGTGGACATCATGCTTCCTCATCCAGTTTTCATTTCCTAAAAACTCACCATCCTATGGATTCATCATACATACATAATAGTACTTTTTTTTTTTTGAATGTGTCTTTTCTTGGCTCCACTTTAGGTCGGAGGGCTGTGTGGCGTCGTGTCCTGCGCCGCGGCCAGCTGGGACTGCAAGTCTCGGACAACGTTCTCCAGGCTCTGCCGTGCCTCGCGTTCCTGCTGCAGCTCCCGTCGCAGCTGCTCACGGTCTGCTTCGGCCTGCTGGAGCTGAGAGTGCAGCTCGTCGATCTGGCGACATGGGCAAAGTCGTCAACTAAAACTCAATCACCTGCAGTGTTTCCCGGTTTTACTATATATTAATAAGAAGAATAAGAAAACCTTTATTCGTCTCGCAATGGAGAAATTCCCGATTGACAGCAGCAAAGTTATGAAAGGAAGAAAGTAAAAGATCAAAAAGTATAGGAGCTGCTGTAAAGGCAGCCACTCTTGCGCCGCGATCTTGAAATCATAATAACAAAATAATACAACACAACACATCAGTCACAGAGAGTCATTCAGTCTTAACCACTTTTCTGCATACTCTTTGTTGTTTAAAGCAGTTATAGGTGTCAGAGGAGAGGATCAAAGTGTCCTTTCACCAGTGGATCAGGGACGTACGTCATGCTGAAAATAGAGAGAGGCGCTGATACCAGTGGCTTCCGATGTGTTACTTATTTTACTTGAAATTTATTTTTTGTCTCTCCCACTTTTCCATTTTAAAATTCAAATGGTGGCCTTGAGCACACACGCTTGGCTAGTCCTGCTTTAAGCCTTATTCACACTGCACTCACTCAATGTGAAGGGATCCAGCTGCATCATGCAACAACGGCAGTGCCCGGTCGCCATATTTCGAACTAACGTAGCGACACCGAGTTTGTTAAAAACTATTACATTTTGGGTTGATCTGTAATGGCGGACATCTACGCTCTGGGCGCGTTTGCCATCCTTAAGCGTCTCACCTGGGCGGAGTATTTGACACGGAGTCGCTCGGCCTCGCATCCTTTGTCGCATGCTCGCTGCTGTCTCTTGTGCTCCAGTTCCCCCTTGAGCCGGCCGCACACCTCCTCCGCCTCTCTGGACTTCCTCTCCCAATCCACGCGGAGGCGTTCAATCTCCTTGCGCAGGTTCCTCTTGGCCTCCACGGCCTCGCGGATGCGGCCTTTCTTGGCCACCTTCACAAACTCCAACTCCTGTGACAACAACCCAGAATACTTGTGATTTAATCACTCCTTCTCGCATCTTCCAGTGCAGCGATACTCAAATGAGAATAGCATTTAAGACGGCGACCTGCTGAAGGTTGCGTTTAGCCTGTACGGCGGCTGCCAGCTTCTCCTCTTGCTTCAGCCTCATCTTGATCACCTCCTGCAGGAATTTCTCTCGATCCTCTTTAGTTTCCACACCAGCGTAGAGCGTCTGTCTCAGAGCGTCCATCTCGGGGCAGACGGGCCCTGACAGCCAGGTCGACGCCTCCTGAGGCAGATAGGTTTCTCTAGTCTGGGGGGTCAAAGTTTGAGGGGCGCTGCTGCAGGCTGAGGGGGGTGAAGCCAGGGCGGATACCCGCAGTGGACCTAGACAGAAAAAAACTTGCAGTTACGGACAGTATGTGCAACTCTTGTCTTTAATTTGATACTAAATGTACTGGTAATCATTTTTTATTTATTTTGTAGTATTTTTATACAATACATTTTCATGTTACTTTTGTATATTTTGAGATATTTTAGTAAACTACTTTTTTATTTTGCTACGTTGTTTTTAAATGTAAATAATGGCTTAAATTCTTTAACCTTCAAATGTTTGCAATTTTTTCATGATGTATGTATGAAATATAAATATTTTTAATGATATATATCGTAAATAATAACGGAAATATAATAACACTATTTACATTTGGGTTTTTTTTTTGCAGTCATAATTGCATTTACTTACATGGTTGTTTATTTTTAGTTTTTATATATATTAGTATTAAAAAAAAAAAAAAAAGATGCTTCCGCTTGGAGGTTGGAGCACAGTACAGTTAACTTCTACTATTAACCACTTGATGGCGCCATTGCACAGTGATCACATGAACCACTTCCTGCGTGGCTCCTTTCGCGTGTTGAACAATTTTAACAGGGAATGACTTTCTTCATTTTGCGACGATTTCCTGGTTCAGATGATAGAAAATACTCACGATCATCATAGTCGTCCACATTGATCTCCTTGTCCGTGTCTATGTTATCGAGGTGCGGCGCTGTGGGCTGCGCGTTGCCATTCTGCAGTTCTTGGATGTTTGGTGTGCAGCTGGCGGGAGCATGGTTGTCTCCCGGATGCACCAGAGGGGTTGAAGGAGCTTGTGTCAAAGTCTCCTGACTCTTTAAAGTGGAACTACAAGGGCAACAGATGTGCAGCTGGTGGGTAAATATACAACCCGCCCTGGTCTTTAATCTGGCCCACCATGCTTTCACATTATCAAGAATGCTCCAAGTTTGCCTAGCCCCGACTTAAAGCATTTCTGTTCTCATTTCAAAAACAATCCTGACGACTCACCTCTGCGGCTCACATTGAGTTGGTGGTTTCTCCCGATCTGATCCTTTTGGAGACCAAGGCCGGAATGCCGAAGGTCTCTGCTTGAGCTGGATTTGCTTCAGGTCCTGGAAACCACGACAGCAAACTCAAGTCACAATGACGAAAACCCATCCGTGCGTTCAAACGGCCGTGACCGACCCGCTTAATTGAACAGTGTTTTTTATTATTATTATTATTAACTAACCACTGATGATCATGTCAAAACTTCAAATAGGAGCTTGTGCGTCACCACTTTGTTTGTATTTAACACTGAGAAATGCACCTTGCACACTTTGCGGCCCGTTTACCAACCTTGTGTCTGGACTTGGACAATGACTGCAGCCACTCGGTTTTGTGTTCGTCGTCAGCTGATGGAGATGGCAATTTTTCCAGTTTGGGCTGCTTGGCTATGACAGGGCTTGGCGACTACGGGTGGGGGTGGGGGGGGGAAGAGAAGCGGGAGGGGAAAGAGTGGCGTTAAATGGTGACTATCATTTAATTCATGAAAAGACAAGTACACATCTGATATTTGGAACATCCAACCACCTGTTCTCTTCGTCACCTGGTCACCAGTCAACCGCAGGGCACAAATAGACAAACAAGCATTCACGCCTACATTCACACCTATGGACGATTTAGAGCTGCCAACATGCATGCTATTGAAAGGAAGTCGGAGAACACGCAGACTCCACCCAGAAAGGCCAGAGGCAAGATTCCAACATCAAACCTCAGAACTGTGAGGCAGGTGTGCTCACAGCGCGCATCCCACCATGCTGCTGCTCCGAACAACAGATGACTACACTGAAAAGCATGTGGCCATGTGTACCATCGCTAGTTCAGGTATGCAGTGCCAGACCTGACTTAACACCTCCCACTCTTAAGCGCAGTGTACCAGACAGACACAGGCACAGAGAGGCACACATATACATACACACTCCCACGCACACTCCCACACACACATATGCATGTCGACACTCGCACCGACCAAGCGAATCTCACCAAGCTTGGTGTGTAAAAGCTGTGAGACTCGATTCACGGGGAGCTGAGCTTCTCGCTTGCTGCTAAATGACGTTTGTCGCAAATTTGTATTGCCGCACACAGGAACAAGAACATGAGCAGGAACAGGAATGTCCCCCCCGTTCGACTCGGCCATTGGACTCGCAAAATATTTTAATTGACTCGAGCGAGTCCAACTATTTTGTGTTCCTGAAAATTAATGTCCTCCATCGAAAGATACTTAGAAATAAAGTTTTTCAGATTTTCAAAATAGCCATCTGATTGGTTAACCTGCCCGGGGCCGCGACTGCCAAAGCACAGACTTTTTCCAAAAGTGGGTTTATAAAATTTGATTTTGTCAACCATAGAAAACTGGCAGTAGCCATGTCTTAAAAAAAAAAAAAAAACAACCCTGAGACAACCTGGAGATTGTGTAAGAAGACATCGAACTTACTTCAACACTTGCAGAGGCACCACAAACACAGATAATTGTGTTTGTTGTTCATCTGCACACGGTTAATAAATCAAAGGGTTCCGTGCCATCTAAGAAGAGTGTTGAGCATAATGACATTTCTCTAATTTTGTGGGTGTGAAAATAGTCCTTTTTTGTCTTAAGCTTTTACTCTTGATCTCATCTGGACTTGGAACCAGACTTGGACCTTTTTGACTCAAACTTGACTTGGACTCGACAGGGGTGGACATTACTGCAGGCCAAGTGTTAGAACAAAACTTTCAAGGGTTCTGGTAGAAAGCAAAACGATGTCAGGAAATGTCTACTAGAACATCTTAACTTTTTGGGGGTTTAATCAGAGGGACTTTAAATGGCAGCAGGTGAGTGCTTTCAACATAAGCTGTTGTGAAAGCGCGAAAGAAATAAAAATGTATTGTATTGTAATTATGAACACTGCCAAGTGTGAGTGAAAACCCTGAACTGGTTGGCAGTCAATCGCAGGGCGCGCATAGACGAACAACCGTCCGCACTCGCACTCACACCTAGGGACAATTTAGAGTGTTCCATTAACCTGCCACACATGTTTTTGGAATGTGGGAGGAAACCGGAGTACCCGGTGAAAACCCACGCAGGCACGGGGAGAACATGCAAACTCCACATAGGAAGGCCGGAGCCAAATCGAGACCCCTACACCTTTGCACTGTGAGGCCGACGCGCTAACCAGTCGATCACCGGGTGGCCCTGGTCTTATATTTATTTTTTAATATCACATAACTTTGCATTTGAACATGGGTGCGTAGACATTCTAGGACCACCTTAAGTGACACACCTTGTGAATCATTGTCGTCCATTATGTCAAGATTGGCGCATTGAAAAGAAACAAGTGCAAAGGCTCCGACTAAATTATTTTACTTTGCTTCTATGCCAGTCTGTCACATTATTGCATGAAAGTGGTCCAATGGCGCAAAAAAATTGGGAGCTTCTGGTTCAGGCGAAGGGAGTGCTCGTCGTGAGCTGGGGGCGGAATGTCATGGGAGAGAGTAAGCGAGCGGCAGGCCTGTGCGGGCCTTCACGCCTCGCCAAGGTAAACACATCCTCTTGTGTAACAAGTGTAGACCTGCGGGCTGAGGAAGTTCTCCGTATCGAAATGTCTGCCATTGCTCATGTCATTCCTGCCACCGAACATCCCGTACGGCAGCTCCCCGTAATGTTGCATTTGCTTTTTCGGCCCGCATTGCGCAAGCGTTTTAGGCCAATTAGTTTAATATGCCTGTGACTCCACGTTGAAGAATTTGTGTGGTTTGCGCTGTACCTAACGCTGCCTCTACTGGGAGAGGTGAATACCATGCTGGCTGCCATCCACACCATCAGAAACACACACACACACACACACACACACACACAACGCACTAATTTTCCACTATTTTCAAAGCATTACCTTGACTAACCTTCATTACCTGGAGGCGTCTCCAAACTCCAAAACCACTACTTCAAAACTAACCTTGCCTTAACCTTCCAAATAGTACGCACCTTCAGATGTCATTGGCCGTACATCACAAAGATTTGTCATGAGGCAGGCAAGTCGCAACAGTTAGTGTGAGGGTGGAACAACTTCAGCAATTGTGTCGCCCACCTGGCTAAACCAGGATGTTACCATGGATTCAGTTGTCAATCCGTCAGCGCAGCCGTTTGAGATTTTTGTACGGAGAAGAACACGTTTTATTCAGATCGGGTTCAAATGTTGTGAGTCTGGAACAGCACGCGATTTCGACACGGGCCAAAATTGGTGTCTCTTGTTTCAATTTTGTTGAAGGTATGATGACAGAGTAAAACCCATCCATCCATTCATTTTCTATTTCCTTTGTCACCAACGAGCTAGCGAGTAAGCAGGGTCCATATGGGCCAACAACAAGCTTTAAGGTGAGATTCAAACCCAGAACCACAGAACTGTGAGGCAATTTGTTGTGTATAATTCAGTACACGCTATATATTTAACATACTTGGCATCGTTATTCTGCCTATTCATGCTCCACTTGTATTGTTGCACAAGAAATGTTTGTCTGAACACTCCCCTCCTGTCTGCCTGATTCATATGCGCGTCTCCTCTACCTGTCTAACCAGTCACCACTTTATACACACACTTCTACAAAGTTATTCTTTGAACTCGGTCTGTACGTCTGCAGCAACAGTTTTCTCACCTGCCCAATAAGTTAAGAGTTTACTGAGAGTTGCCGAGCGTGTCACAGGGCTATTGCTACGCTGAGTTTTTTTTTTCTCTTTTCCGTCTGCAGGCAGGTTCGCTAGACATAATAGAGGCCAAAAGCAGACACTCCCCAGACACCACAAGGGACCCGCACGGCTAAATGTGATGCTGACCTCACAGGCTTCATAGACATAGCTCACCCTGGGAGAGTCATAATATGTCTTGCACTGCATGTCCCAGTGGTTCGATGACTGACACCACCTACCAGAGAAACAGGAAGTAGCATCTGAAATAACCAACAAAATGAACCAAAAAAAAAAAAGCTAGGAACTTTCTCTTTTTGTTTCATTTAGGCGACAATGGAACTACACCCACGATATGCCCTACGATGATAAATGGTACTCCTGTCATCTTATGTCATTTGTGACCTGGAAAGGAGCATGTTAACTTAAAACAAACAAAAAAATAAATACAATACAGCAATTGCGTCTGCCTTACAGTTCTCAGGTTCTATGTTCAGATCTCATTTTCAGCAAATGGTAGAGTCCATTCATATTTCGGCGCCCTCGTGAGCCAGGAAGCAGCATGCTAACTTTCAAATAAATGTACAGATTAGAAGAATATTTTGAAAGATTTTTTTTCCCCACTTTTTACAATTGTGGACAGAATAATTTCGGCTTACTCCTTAGCTCCAGAATGAAAAAAATGGGTTGAGACAGTCAACTTTTGCTCTCTGGCCAAGAAGTTGCATGCTAGCTTACAAAATGAACACAAATAGCACTCCACCATTTTGCCTCTGTTGTGTGATGAATTTATTTTGGTCAAGATTTGTGGTCTTAGTTTTTAACAATGTCCACATTACTGTACATCATGATGCAGTTTTGTATGTGTGTGTGGCGAGGAATAGAAAGAGAGTGAATGACATGCATAGGCGCCACCTATGGTGATGGACACCTGCACGCTGTGCTAAAACAAACAAGCAAACAAACAAACAAAAAACACGCTTCACACAGCGCAACATCATATTGTAGACTTGGCACCCCCCTGCTCTCTCCTCAGACTTCCTGTGGCCGAGTGAATCCCCTGTGGGAACTGGAGTGGGAGGGAGGTGGGCCAAGGGAGCGCGAACACAGAGGAAACAGTGAACTGCAGGAATGTTTACTTGAAGGCCAAGTACATCCCCCCACCCCTTCACTTCTTTAAGACTCCATTCAAGCATTGGCCTTTTCAACCGGCCATTGTATGATACGGCTTTGAGGTGCTGTAATGAAGCGGCCTTTCAAAGAAAAACTGCGAGCTAAACAGGCACTATAGCTGCCCGGGCGAGAGCAGACATGCTTTATTCTTTTTAATTAGTGGCGCTCTGCAATTCCAGGGTTAGGCCTCGCATTGCAAATGTGTTGCTTCATCGGAATAGTTTGGGTATAATTTTGTTGTGAGTATTGTGTGAACTGGAGCATGGAAAAAAAACAACAACACAGAGCTTATTGATGCTAATTGATCATGGATGTAGTGCTTCGATCAATAAGCCTCATTAGAAAAGTCAACTTTTCCCAATCACCTTTTTCATTTTCATCTGAGGGTAATATTTAATGTACGAAAATATGTTGTGAAGCTGCTCGTCTGCCTGGAGATGCTGCAGTGGATTGTCAAACATGGACAGAAGCTTGTTGAGTGTTCTTCTCCTTTCATTTATATATCCATCCATCCATCAATCCATTTTCCAATCCGCTTAGCCTCACGGGGGTCGCGGGCGTGCTGGAGCCTCGCCCAGCT